CCATAGGTGCCACGCGGGCCGTCCCTGAGCAGAACTCCCGTCATGTCACAGTGTCCCCGCCGCAGCCCCCGCCCCACCCCGAGGCAAGCATCTGTTCATTCCACAGCATTTGCTGAATGCTGCCTCCTGCTGGACAAGCATCAGGGGACAGACCCGTGCCCCCGTGGCGGGGAGCGTCCTGGAGGGGAGGCTAGAGGGGCAACAAATAACAAGACAGCTGCAGGGCGGCAGAGGTGGTCCCTGCTCTAGACAGACGCCCAGGAGAGCGGATGGGGGCGCCGGGGAGGGAGCCATGCAAGCCTCCGACCGCGTCCCGGCTGCTTTCCAGCCATGTTTGTTCTGAAGCCCTGCCTTCCCCTCTCCCTTACTTGTGTAAATCCTGTCTGATTCCTTCTGTTTCTAGAGTAGGAGGAGGAATCGTGCCCATGATTAACCCTGAAATAGGCAAAGTGCTTGGACACCCCTGCACACGCACACGAGGCAGGCGCACCGTGACCGGGCGTGTCCATGGAGGGTGGTTTCGGCCATCGCTGAATGAGCAAGGACGGTCCTGCCCTTTTGAAGACCTGAGCTGTCTTTCTGAGGCTTCCTCCCTAGTTTTTCCCCCTCAGGGTTGCTCTGACCCCAGGATAGAACAAGCAGAAATCTTCCAGGCCAACCCCCAGTCCAGGCTATTTGGCTCATCTCTGTGGCAGGAGGCGTCGCCTGTGTGTGGCTGACAGTGTACTTGCTGCAGGCCCTGGAAGGTCACCTGGGGTCTCTGTGGCCTCCTGCTGTCTCACTTGGCCAGGACAGTGGAGCTTGAGTCCCGGCAGCTGTCGGGGCAGGCTTTCAGGGGGCGTACCCGGAGGGGCCGCCACACCTGGCGGCTCTGAAGCACAGACTGAGGAGTTAAAAATACACACGTCCGTCCCCCTGCTTCTGACATTTACTAAGTCCATGGAGGTGACTTCTGGCACAACCAGAACAAGCAGTCCTTGCACGAGTGACAGATTGGCCGTGTGTCCCCTGCCTGTGAGCTGTGGAGAAGGAGAGCACGGGGCTCCCTGGAACAGAGTTATGCGCGTGCGCACCAATGTGTGTGTGTGTGTGTGTGTGTGTGTGTGTGTGTAGGATCTTTTCCTATTACGTGAAACAAAAAAACCTTAGTAGTTTTAATGCTTAGTAGTTTTAATGCTTAGTAGTTTTGTGTCTGACTGAGTGTAATAATTATTCCATCACAAAACAACTTTTTCCTTCAAACGGGTGCTCTCAAAGGGTTGGTCTTGGGCTCAGGTCTCTGCATGACCAAGTCCTTGTAAACAGAGGACTCTGTATAAGGAAATTGCAGCTCAGGTGACTTTCTGGGATCCACCGTTTTGTGGGGCACCCTGCAGACCCCACAGCTGTGGCTCCTGCCCCTCAGAGCACAGCTGAGGTGGGGCTTCTTTGGTGTCTCCCCACCCTCCTTTCCCACCACACGTTGTGCGGTGGGCTGGCTGGGGACAGGTGTCTGCTCTGCTTGGCCTGCATCTCTGCCGTGCCCCAACCCCACCCCAGACCCGGGCATGGAGTGTTGAGCACCGGAGGGCAGAGGCTGAAAGGTCAGAGGGAGCAAGGCTGGCACTCAGGCACCTTTGGCATCTGAATCGACCATTTTGGCACACCTTCTTGGAGACGTCTAGTCTCCTTTCTTGAAAATCAAGGGCACGGGAACTTGTAGAGCAGGGGTTGAAAACTACTACGGGCCACAGGCCAGGATGCCTATTTTTGTATCACTCTCAAACGCAGAATGGTGTTTGAACTTTTAAATGATTTTTAAAAAGCAAAAGAATAGTATTATTTCATGACATGGGAAAGTGATTTGCAGTTCAAATTTCAGAGTCCACAGATAAAGTTTATTTTTGTTTTTGGCACAAATAAAGTTTTATTGGAACACAGCCATGCTCGTTCTTTTACGCGTTGTCCATGGCTGCTTTCCTGCTGCTTGGAAGGACCATATGGCCACAAAGCTGAAGATATTTACAGTCGTTGTCAGAAATAGTTTGCCGGCCCCTATCCTGGAAAATCCGTCTCCCACGGCCTCTCCTGGCTCCAGCATTCTTGGCTGTCCCACATTCTGTGCTGTTATTTCTGTCTGTTTGGATGCGTCACCCACCCAGGAGTCAGATGGTACCTTCTCTGTGTCTTGTCTCCTGACCTCAGTTGAGTGGCTCAGCTTGGCTCAGGACCCCAGGAAAGGCCGAGGCCCCTGAGTTGGGCTCAGCGGGAACCAGAGATGTTGAACCATGTGCTCCCTGTAGACAGGCCCCACTCATCCGCTGCAAGATTTGGGAAGGACCCAGCCCAGCAGAGATACTTTTACAGATGTGTTGGATTTGGTCAAGGTGTGCTGAAAGTTGCTATAAAAAGACCACTTTGGGATCATTTGTTTTCTTAAGTGGTAGGGTCTTGACGCTCTTCCAGGTTGGAGAGCCTGCACAGTGCCTCGTGGGTTCTGTAATCGGTGTGGAAGGTGATGGGGTCGAGGAGTGGCCTCTGAGTTGCAAGGAAGCCCTGTCCCCACCCGCCCCCCTCCCCCAGAGCTGAGGTCCTGCCTATGCGGTGGGCACAGCCAGTCCGGCCATCTCTGGGGTGGGGGGCGGCGCATTGCCACCTCTCACTTTGTTCTGGGCAGCCACGGAGCTGGGGCAAAGGTGGAGAGAGAGCTGCCACTGTGGGCTCGTTTTCATCATTCTTAAACCAGGAAAACAATGTGCTCCCTCATCTCAGTTCCCTAGAACGTTTACTTAAGTATGTCTGAAGTTTCGTTATTTAAGAAAATACGGCTAGAGCGTGCGCTCTTAACAGCAAGGCTGCCTTGTCTGACTCCCGCATGAAAAAAAAAACAAAAACGGAAATAGAGAAAGAAGAGGAAAATCTCTCACAGAGATGGTGTTGACATTTTGGAATATTAAAAGTTGGAGTCTTGTTTTTCCCAGACGTGGATTATTTTCTCTGTGGTGTTAATGTACTGTGTTCTGGCCCCCACCCCCTACTCTTTTCTTCTGAGCCGAGGACCAAGGGTTTGAGCCCCGCCGCTAATGGGACACACAGGACCCCCCCCCACACACACACACTTCCTCTGCTGTGATCCCAGGGCGAGACCCCCTCCCTGGTGCCGGTTTTGTGCTGAGGGTTCTCTGAGGCGCGCTGTGTTCACCACGTAGCGTGTTTTCATCACCTTAACGTGCCTTCCCATGAGGGGCCAAAACCGGAACCAGCACCTAGGCCGTTTTGGAGAGTTAATCTGTCACCTGCCATGTGCAGTTGACCCCTGAACAACATGGTTTTGAACTGTTTAGATGCGGATTTTTTTTTTCAATGAATGTATTTTCTCTTACGGTCTTCTTAATAACATTTCTCTAGCTTACTTTATTGTGAGAATATAGTACATAATACATATAACATACAAAATGTGTGTTCATTGACTGTTTATGTGATTGGGAAGGATTCCAGGCAACAGGAGGCTATTAGTAGTTAAGTTTTAGGGGGAGTCAAAGTCATATGCAGATTTTCTGATTGTATGGGGGGTGGATTGGCACCCCTAACCATTACGTTGTTCAGGGTCAACTACTGCTAACCTGAGGGGCCAGGAGTGGTACCCAGAGTTCCACACAGAAATCCATACAACCTGGGGTCAGCCACCCAGGTGAGGCTGGCAGCTCCCCAGCTCATGGTCCAAAGGGATGCTCTAAGCCCGTGTTTGCACCTGAGCTGCTCGTCGGAACCACCTGTGGGAGCTGCTTTCAGCATCCATACCTGGGCCCTGGGCCTGCCAATTACAATTTAGTTGCACCAGGTTGGGTCCCAGCCATTGTTGTTTGGATAAGTTCCCTGGGTTACAGGTGGCAGACTGAGGTCCATTGGGGTGCAGGGACTTGCCCATGGGGCAGAGCTGAGGTGCGCCCCCGGCTGCCTGCCTCTTCCGCCCGACTCAGGAGCTTTGTCCTGTGCTGTCCGACAGCAGAGGACCAGCCTTTTCTGTTCCACATGCGTCTGATCTGTCCCGTGTGTTTGCCGCCTGCCGCCTGCAGAACAGAGGCTTTTAGGTTCTCTGATGAGCTGGAAATATAATCTGGCTGCAGGAGGCCTGTTGAAACTTGCTTTTGATTTCATTGTGTCGCTTTCATCCTGGCCTGAAAGCCAGGAGTTTGGCTGTTGCGTTTTTATCGTCTTCCTTTTAACAGAAGCGTCTACAGGAACCCCTGTCATCAGAATCACGTCTTATCCTGTTGATGTGTTTCGGTGGGTTAAGGCGTTTTTATGTTTGACAGCACTTTTCTCCTCTGTGGCTTTTGTGGTTGATGCTTTTAATCAGCACCGACTATTCAAGAAAGGGATGTTAGCATGCGCATCTCAGTCAATGGCCGCCAGTGCTTCTGGGGCTGGAAAGCATCCTGGAGCTACAGGCTCAGAACCAGAAGCGCCCTCAGAGGTCACCTGGTCCTGACCAAGCAAGAAATTAGTCCGCAGACAAGCGGGAGGCCTTGCCTAGGACCATCAGTGCACTAGTTGTCCAGCCTTTTGAAACTCGGCTCCGTGTCTTGGGTGTGATCCGGGGCCTCCCGGTGCTCCACCCAGGGCAGGCTTGCTAATCAATGCCAGAACTCCTTCCTACTGAGCCCACCGCGGTCTGAGACCCACACCTGGGTACCAGGCAGCCACTGTCAGTCGATCAGCAATGGTAAGGGAGAGAACACCTGTTTGCCTTGCCTGTTCCCGACCACGCGGCCCCTCTCAGCGCAGCGTCCACACCTAGGTAGGGGAGGCTGTGGGAGAGGCCCTGCACCGGCCCTCACTGACAGTGTCATTCGGCCAGCGCCCCCGATAAGCTGTAGCCCCGGCTTTGTAGTGTGGCCTGGTGGGATGCAGACAGAGCTGAGATTCCTTCTTGGGAGTGAGCCCGTCTGGTTTCGGGCAGCTCAGGCTGGTTCAGACCTGTGTCTGCCCATCCAGACCTGTGGTTCCCATCCCACCAGGTGATCAACGTCGACGGGACAAAGAGGCGGACGCTCCTGGAGGACAAACTCCCGCACATTTTCGGGTTCACGCTGCTGGGGGACTTCATCTACTGGACCGACTGGCAGCGGCGCAGCATCGAGCGTGTGCACAAGGTCAAGGCCAGCCGGGACGTCATCATTGACCAGCTGCCCGATCTGATGGGGCTCAAGGCCGTGAATGTGGCCAAGGTCGTCGGTGAGTCCTGTCAGCCTTCAGCCACGGGTCAGCTGTGCCGACTGGTGCAAAGAAGAAGTGACAGGCTTGTGGATGCCCTTTGGTCCATGGGCGGCCCAGGTTGGGGTCAAAGTTGGAGGCATAAGTGCCCGGCTGGGGTGCCCTACTCTGGGGATGAGCATGACAGGAGGTGGTGATAATGTCTGGTTAAGGCCAGGTGGGCACGGGGTGGTGTATTGACCAGCAATACTTACTGGGCAGTGGTTATGGACTGGTACTACAGGCAATAATGGTTATAATAATGGCTACCACTTGTTGAGTGCCTGCTGTGTGTCAGGCTCTGGCTAAGTGCCCTAGCTTTGGGCAAAGCAACCCTGTGCGCTAATGACTATATTGCCTCATTCACGCCGGGGGGAGGGAAGCAAAGCCATGCAATTAAGGGGTGACCAAGCTCAGAATTTACATGTGGGTTGGCCTCGACCTCATTGCCAAGATTTGCAAAAAATTCACTTGCTACAATTTTGTTTGTTTATGAAAAGGATTCCAAATGCAGGTCAACAAGTTACACGTGAGAGAGTAGCTTCCAGGTGTGATGGGGGTACCGCCGGCTCCGTGGGGATAGGGGTTCTGTTCCAGCTGGGGCCCCAGTGTCTAGTAATGCTCCTGCACATCAGAGGTGCTCAGCAAACCTTTGCTGGGTGAATAAATGAATGAATGACCCACGGGGACCCAGTGCTTGCCCTCAAGTGGTTTACAGTCTGGTGGGTGAGACACCCCATAACTCTGCTACCAGGCAGATGGCTGTAGCTGGCGTGTTAAGGGAATGACTGCTTTTAAAACACAAGGAAGGTCATTTGAGTTTGGAATTTAAGGAGCAGGTGGGGAAGCAGTGTTCGCGGGCAGGGACAGCTGAGCAGTGGCCTGGAGGTGAGCTGTGTGTGCTGACCTGCGAGCAGCCACTGCTTGTGTGTCTCTGGGACAGGCCCTTAGTCCCAGCCTGCATTCCTGGTATGAAGATGATGGAAAAGACAAGCTTTGTTTCACTAGGCAGCTTGTAAAACACATTCATCCTGCATTGTGGACTGTGGGGCCCACCCATGAGTGATTGCTTAAAAAACAAATAAATTCCCAGGGATAAGAAAAAAAGACGTATCCATAGGGTGTGATTAAAGTTGAGAAATTGGGCTCATCTCCCTCCCTCCTTCCCTCCCTCCCTCAGTCTTTCCCTCCCTCCTTTCCTCTCTCTCTCATCTCAGGATTTACTGAGAGAGATGAGGAAAAGAGTTCTTTTCTTAGCTGAAATACTTAACATTAAATTAGAGCCAATTTTAACAGCACCCCAGTAGATGAGTGAGATTAACAGACTGGCCAAAAATAAATGAATGTGCTAAGTACCATCTGCTTTCATAAAAAAGAGGCGCCTTTGGCCGTCCTGGGTGATCTGAGTTTTCGAGGTCGCAGAGGAGCCACGTGGGGGAGTCTCGGGCTCCAGTCCAGTCGGCAGGTCAGGAGTCCTGGCCTGGGGAGGGACAGCTTGTCCCGTCACTGCCTCGAGGTGTTACTGTGTCCAGCTCAGGCCAGGAGGCTAGGTTCTCCCGGGTTCTTGTTCTCTCTGAGCTGCTGCCTACCTTCCCAACTATGTCACCTTCAGCAGCCTCTAAGCGCTTCTGTTTCCTCAACTGGAAAACGGGTGGGATTAGCTTCTACCTCCCAGGTTGCTTCTACTCCCAGGGTTGGAGCGAGTTAACGCACTGGGACCTGCTGGGACCCATTGTTCCTGCCACTTCAGTGCCAGGCAGGACCCGGCTTTCCATCAGTCATCTCCACCGAGTGGCCCTGTTTGTGTCTGGCGGACATAAATCCACACGTGACCGTGGCTCGATTGCCCCTCCCTCTGCTGGGCTGCTGATGTCTAGGGCCTGTGTGTTCACTTCCAGGAACCAACCCGTGTGCGGACAGGAACGGGGGGTGCAGCCATCTGTGCTTCTTCACACCCCGTGCGACCAAGTGCGGCTGCCCCATCGGCCTGGAGCTGCTGAGCGACCTGAAGACCTGCATTGTCCCGGAGGCCTTCCTCGTGTTCACAAGCCGAGCCACCATCCACAGGATCTCCCTGGAGACCAACAACAATGACGTGGCCATCCCACTCACGGGCGTCAAGGAGGCCTCGGCGCTGGACTTCGACGTGTCCAACAATCACATCTACTGGACGGACGTCAGCCTGAAGGTGCGGTCTGCTAGGTGTCCTGCACACAGCTGTCCCATGAACACCTTGCCTGCGATGCAACTGCCCCAAAGGCTTTAAAATGTTGTTTTAATTAATTAATTTATTTATTTATTTATTATTGGGGAACAGTGTGTTTTTCCAGGACCCATCAGCTCCAAGTCAAGTAGTTGTTTCAATCTAGTTGTGGCGGGCGCAGCTTAGTGGCCCATGTGGGGATTGAACCGGCAACCTTGGTGTTATGAGCAGTGTGCTCTAACCAGCTGAGCTAACCGGCTGCCTTAAAATTTTTTTAAAAGACCTATAATGTTTATATCAAATCAAGCCAGTAAGATATTAGTGAACTTATTTTGATAAACTAACATGATTGATTACCATGAGTAGATCGAGGAGACACACACAAATGGGCTTTTCTAGAGCGATTGTGTTTCCGTGAAACGTTTGTGATGCTGTCTTTAGATTAACTCCATCCACTCCCTCCCCCGTACCCCTGGCTTAGCAGACTGTCTTCATTCACGGTGCAAATAGAAACATCCTGGATGAATACAGAGAAAGCGGGGCTTGGCAAATTGGTCCATGGGCTGGCCTCCTGCTTTTGTAAATAAAGTTTTATTGGAACACAGTGATGCCCATTTGTTTATGGACTGTCCACGCCTGCTTTTGTGCTTCTAGAATGGGTTGTCGAGACAGATCCATGTGCTCTGTGAAGCCTAAAATATTTCTGTCTGCTCCTTTACAGAAAACATTAGCTGACCCCTATCGAAAGTGCAGTATTGAACAACTGAACCAGTTTAATCATCTGTCTTTTATTCTACCACTTATATTACTGGTCTCTTAAAGATTTTTCTGATTTTAAAAGTCACAAGGTCCCATTCTAGAAAGAGGGACATATACAGAAGAGTATAAAGAAGAAAATAGAAATTACCCATAACCCCAAGAGCACAAGTCAACCCTTGCTGACATTTCCATGTATTTCTTTGAGTTTTTTTCCTATGATACTGTTTTTCATAATGGCAATTCTATGCTATATAGAATTCTGTATCCTGGTTTTTTCACTTAACATTGTAACCAGTATATTTTAACCTATTATGAACTCTTTTAACGTAATTCTTTCAATGTGTAAAGTATTCCTCGGCACAGCTATTCCCTATTATACTTAACCATTTCCTTATTTTTTAGATGGTCTGGCTGCTCCCAGTTTTTCCCAACTCTAAACAATACCACAGTAATAAAAAGCCTTTTTTGTATTTTCAGTAGTTCTCTGTCTTTTGTATTTTCATTAGTTCATTTGGATAAATTTCAGGAGGAAGATTACTGGGTAGAGGAATTTAACTATTTCTAAGCGTCATGATAGATATATCTAGGTATATAGAGAATATGTATTTAACGTATAACTTATTTTACAGTTACATACAGTATATTTACATATTTCTTATAAAATACATACTATATAGATAAATATAGTCAAAGGTTGTATTTTGCTGCATTTGAAACGTTCATTTAAGAGCGCTTGAATGGGGGTGGGTAGCAGGTGGTCAGGAGGCTGAGCATCTCGTGGACAGACATCTTCAAAAATGCTGGTTCCTAACTGTGGCCCTTCCCCCGCTTCTCCCAGACCATCAGCCGCGCCTTCATGAATGGGAGCTCCGTGGAGCACGTGATCGAGTTTGGCCTCGACTACCCAGAAGGCATGGCAGTCGACTGGATGGGCAAGAACCTCTACTGGGCGGACACCGGGACCAATCGGATCGAAGTGGCCCGGCTAGACGGGCAGTTCCGGCAGGTCCTTGTGTGGAGGGACTTGGACAACCCACGGTCACTGGCCCTGGACCCCACCAAAGGGTAAGGGCCGCTTTAGTCCTATACGTGTGTCCCTGCCCCCCTCCCACCTCTCTGCATCGCGGTGATGATTGCCCAGCTGGCTCTCTCTGATTGAAGCAGCATTGATGGCCACCAGCTTTGAGGTTGCCGGGGCCAGCCAGACCCTTGGAGGTCATCTAGTTCATTTCACAAAGGGGAAACTGAGGCCCAGAGCCCAAGGAAGGAATGGTAGCCACCGTATCAGGCACTGCGCTGGGCACTGTCCTGTGGGTAGTGCAGCATCCAGGCCTGCAAGGGGTGGGTATCTTTGTCCCTGATTTTACAGGTGTGGCAACGGAGGCTCCTAGAACCTGAGAGACTTATGCAAGGTCACATAAACGGTTAGCGCAGGGTTGGGCCCACCTGTCCTGCCTCAGGCTCCTGGCCTGATCTCCTTCCCTCTCCCTGTGCCACCAACTCCCCATCTCAGAGCTGGCTTTGAGCTCCTTGGATCCCAGGCTTGTTACAGGCCATGTAGCCGAGGCTTATCGCCCGTGCTTTTATCCACAGGCGGCTGGGCCCTGCCTGGGCACGGGGCTAGAGGGGTCAGGGTGGAGCCGCCCTCTACCAGAGTGTTCTTTCCTGAGCTGCCAACACAGTGCTTACCCCATAAAGCATCAGCGATGCGTATGGAGTACCCCAAACCCTGCCTGTTGCACGCTTTGTTAGGGAAGGCAAGTTTCAGAATGGCAGAACAGAGAAACAGGTCCAAGTTTTAGCAAAAGGGCACGTATGACGTGCACGGTCCTCAAATGAGGATGCGAGTTTCCTTTCCTGGCGCAGCTGGGAGGAATCCTGGCTCTGCAGCGCCTGCTGCCTGGGGGTCTTGCTTCCTACCCGTGTTGGGTATCGGGACCAAAGTCCTGCTCTGCCCACCTTCACCCTGGCTCCCCGGTCCCCCGAATCCTGCCTGGCTTACTTAGCGCTTGTCCCCGACGAAAGCATCCCGGCCTGTATGTTCTGTGACACGGTCACCCCATCTCTGCACCTAGTTTGTGTCTGTAAATGGTGTGATCACACTTAGCCTTCAGGTGCGCTGCGGTGGGAACTCAGGAGGCAGGAGGTAGCACAGTGACAGCCCCTGAGGGATGGCCGGGTGGTGGGGGCTCAAGGGTCTCACCTCTTCTCTGCTCCCTGGAGGGATATTGTGGGTGTGGATTGCTCTGGGACAGGGAGGGTCCAGCCTAGGAGATGGTGGCGGTCATGTTCCCTGCCCTGTGGTAAGAGTGGACGCACCTGAGCCCACCCTGCCCTCCTCCCTGTGTCTTCCAGCTACATCTACTGGACCGAGTGGGGCGGCAAACCGAGGATCGTGCGGGCCTTCATGGACGGGACCAACTGCATGACGCTGGTGGACAAGGTGGGCCGGGCCAACGACCTCACCATCGACTATGCTGACCAGCGTCTCTACTGGACTGACCTGGACACCAACATGATTGAGTCATCCAACATGCTGGGTGAGGGCGGGCGGGTGCTACAGGGATGGGGCAGCCCTGGGCACCTCTCAGCCCCCTCTGGCTTGCGATTCCCCGGGCCCTACAGGAGGTGTGGACGCGCCCAAGTGCACATCCAGCCTCGCCCTCTGCCGAGGGTTGTCCCCTTCCGCTCTGTGCCATTGCTGTGGGCGTGTGGACAGAGGCCCTGGTGACCGCTGTTTCCTGCACACCTACTGAGAGCTGGGTCCCAGCTAAGCCCTGAGCTAGGACTGATTTGACACTGTTACCACATAGCATAGGATTTCATTGATGGGGAAACTGAGGCCCAGGGAGGCCACAGGACTTGCCTGAGGTCACAGAGCTCCTCTCAGACCCTAGGACCATGCACTCAATGTCCTTTGACCCTGAGCACCTACTGTGTGCCAAACATTGTTCTGGGACCACTCAGAGGCCGTATCCAACACCTGGGATTAGATAAAGAAACAAAACAAAATGCCTTGTTCCAAAGCTACCCAGCAACACAGGCAGGATTTGAACCCAGAACATACAACTCAGCTCTGTACTGCTGGAGGGGCATGGTTATGTCAGCACTCTTGGGTGATGCATCAGGTGATGGGGCTACCATGTGCAGTGGCGAGAACCTGGCTTCCTCCCGAATGGCTTCTGTCACCTGTGGTGGGCTTGGTTGTGCCCATTTCACAGATGAGGAAACTGAGGCATAGGCGGGCTAAATGGCTTGTCCTAGGTACTGTGTGAGCAGAGCTTGAACCCCAGTGTCCTGGTTTCTGCTTTGGGCAGACTGCACACCCTCCACTCCTGTATGCTGATTGACCTGGGTTATGAGGCCAACGGCCAGCTTTGAATGTGTCTTCGAGCAGTAAATTACGAGAAGCTGGTGGCAGATGAGAAACCAATCACAGCACAGCTGTGATTGCCCAAAATCATTAAGCTCACTGATTACCCCAGAGTGGAGACACACTTGGACGGAAGCCAGCGAAAGCCCTAGTCACTCCCACGACCCTGCTGATTAAGGGTGGCCATGTGTATTGAGCCTGACTATCACTGCCATAGCATGTTTTCCATTTAATGACACGGATGTTTACTTTGCACTTAATAATGTGGGAGTTCCCGGGTGCATAAAGGATAGGTAATGATGCCTGATGTGGTTAGAGCCGGACACAGAACGTGAACTTGGAACCTCACTGCCTTGACCCCGCCACATACTAATTGTGTGGCTTTAGCCAAGCTACTTAACCTTTCTGTGCCTGTTTCTTTCTTTCTTTTTTTTTTTTTTTAAAGATTTTTATTGGGGAATTGGAGGGGTGGGAACAGTGCTGGGGAATTGGGGGAAGGGGAACAGACAAGTTGATGTCGTTTTGTTCTTCAGTCTAGTTGTGGAGGACGTTGCTTCACTGG